TCCCCTGCCTGTGCCCTGCCAGCCCTGCCCCAGAGCAGCCACAGCTCTGTGTTGGATTCCGTCCAAAGTGCTGCAGCTCCGTCCCCTGCCTGTGCCCTGCCAGCCCTGCCGCAGACCAGCCACAGCTCTGTGTTGTATTCCGTCCAAAGTGCTGCAGCTCTGCCAGCCCTGGAGTCTCAGCCTTGGTCTGTGTCAGCTTTGGGGACGGGGTTCTTCACACTCTGTCCCTTCCACTCAAACAAGGGCAAAGCCTGGGAGGGAAGGTGCGCACTGGAAAAGCCAAGTGGGCAGGGATCTCCAAGAGCTCATCAGCAGAAAACGTTCACCTTTGACTAAGGCATCACTCCTAATGAAGAGCTGGGCTAGCTGAACTTAATTGCCTGGTTTAGGCAGATATGGCTGGAAAATCACACGCCTGTCAGATTTTTTTTTTCTCCCCCTAAAGCATCAAATTATTCACTATCTTCTTGTAGCATTTGCAGCCAACTCTTTCCTGTGATGATTTTCAAAGGATGAAGAATGAGCACCCTGGTGACATTTCTAGTATCTATAAATATCTTCCCACTACCCTGCCTGCCCAACTGGTGAATTATGCAGGAAGATATATATAATAAAACAATCGGATCCATTTTGTTGTCAACATCCCATTCTTCTTCAGCTGGCAAGAGAACAGCCTAGGCTGGTGCTCTGGAAAGAGCAAGCAGTGCCTGGGGAATTGCTGCACTTTTCTTTTCCTGTAGGTACAGGGGTATGTTTGGAGGGCAGCACGGAGCAGAGGGACGCCCGGGTATGCTGGAAAAAGGAAGATGGGTTTGCAAAAAGTATGAAGGTTAGGACAGTAGCAGTCTCCCGAATGGCAGGAAATCCCACATACAGAGCACTGAGAAGCTTGTGGTAAAAGCAGCATTGAAAAAATACCAAAGAAGGACTAATCCAGCAATGTTATCTGGAGCGTAATGCACTTACTATACATTTTGGTCCTGCTTTCATGTGTGTAATTCAGCAGTGCTCTGTTTATGCAACTAAACCTCCTGCATGGTGACATACATGGAGGATTCAATGCACCCAGCTTTGCAAAGCTGTGGGAAGTGACCAGTTTACACTACATATCTAATGGGCAGGTTTACATTTACACTGCAGGCATTTAATTTAATAGCGTAGTTTTCCCTAGTTAAGAGACCTCTTCTATCCAGATACTCATTATGTGGGGTAGTTTATAGAATCTGTTCCCTCACTGACAGGTTAAGAGGCATTTTAAAATAGGAAGCTTAAGACAGCTCTCTCCCTCGCATTAGATATTTGCAGATGTCTTTTGCTAAGCCATAACTGGCTGCTTCATCATTATTTTTGGGGGGGCTGTACCTTAGAGACACTGCCTGGCAATTAAACAAAGTTCTTACCAGAAAGTTTTCCCACCTTACCTTGGCCCAGAAGGTCATTGTTCTCCAGGAGTGCAAAGACAAAGATTTTGCATCATTCCTGCAGGAAGACAGCTGCTGTGTTGCTCAGCCCAGGAGAGTTACTGTGGATCTCCTGCAAAGCCTGAGGACCTCACCTTCTCACATTACTTTGGGTAGGAGGACAACACACTGTGGGCAGCTGATACACTGGACAGGCAGAGAGCTGACCACGTCCCCACCAGTGTGTGCTGAGGCCACCCATAAAGCTGTTCAGTTTGATGCCCCATCCCTGGAGGTGTATAAGGACAGGCTGGATGAGGCTTTGAGCAACCGGGACCCAAGGGATATTCCATACCATATGACATCATGCTCAGCAAGAAAAACTAGAGGAAGAAGGAGGAAGTGAAGATCTTGGTCTGAACCTCTCACTCCATTTCTTCATAGTGAGCACAGGGAAATGAGAGACACATCTGACCCTCTTTGATAACCATTGTAGGATGAGGTGGGAGGACCAAGTCCCTCATGGAGTATCAGGGCAGCCCAAGGTGACTCACTCAGACCTGCACGTCTCCAGCTGCAGACTCACCCTATGAACCCCACAGCTGCCTGGAAACAGGATCCTGGAACTTTCGATGCCACCACGTAGGCAGTGGGCACAGAGTTGGCTGGTGGTCCTGCCCTTTCCCCAGTTGGTGCTGAACACCTGAGCCCATTCATGGCCACCTCTGGGGAGCGGGGACCTCTCAAGATGAGGCAGGGTTTGTCGAGGGGCTCATTGACTTTGGGGATTCATCTGAGTAACAGAGTTTGTCGTGTTCCCAAAGGAGGGTCATGGTCCCTGCTGGAGACCTGAGTCTGGCTGTCAGATTGTAACCTGGTGTTGGGTTAGGGTGGGAAAGTTTGGGGGTGCTCATTGGGGTTAATTCCACTGAGACCAAATCCTCTGCACATCTGGCATCCTCCCCTTCCCTCCTACGCAGCCTCCCTGCTGACAGACAGGCTCAGACTCAGAGGTGGCTGTGAACCTCACCGATGAGAAACCCACGGCTGCTGGCATGGCGAGGGGCAGGAGGATCCTGCACTGCCTGAGGAGGAGAAACAGCAAATATTGGCCACAGGCAAGGCCCCGTGCTGTGCAACGAAGCACCACAGACAGCATGGAGAGCGTGGCACAGCTCCATGTCCCCAGGGAACCTTACCTCCCTCATTTCCCAGCTCCCACGTACTCAGCCTCTGCCGTCCAGAGCGGTGCTCTGTGCCTGGCTCGCTCAGTGCACGCCCCAGGCACCCCTCTCTGTGTGCTCTGCTCCAGAAACACCTCAGTTCTCACTCACCCACTCCATTCGTGATTATAAGTGCAACTATCCAAACGGCTGTGTTTGTCCCACCTGCCGCTGCACTCACTCTCCACGCAGTGAGTAACCGTGTGGTACACGCCTCCAAGCAACTTTCAGAGACTAGTCCAGGATTAACGATTTTTATTAGTAAATTTCTACCATTACGAAATATTCTTCTTAAATAATCCCTGTATTTGTACTGTTGATGACATTAAGCACATTGCATATTAACACTGTTTCCAAAGTTTCTAAAATTTACAGGAATATTAGCAAGAAACCGTTTCTATCCATAACACCTGCTGATCTCCCAACATTCACCATTACACATAAAACAAAGAAACACTCGTATAGAAAAAAACCCAGTCTAAAGAATTTCAGAGGTCACTGAACTATCGAAGGATATTCTTCCTTATTGAAGAAGGATATTGACTTTAAAACCACTCTGAATCCCAACAGAGACATATTCAATTCAGTTTGGAGCTGAGCACTCTCTGGGTGTGGAAGATCTGCCTGTGGGTTGGGATCTCCCAGGGCTCCAGTGTAGGAATCCCAGGACATTGATTTACAGCAGCCAACAATCTGGTCCATGTGTCCCTCTGCACCGCTGTCACCCCCCTGCGGGCTCTACTTGGGCTAAGTGCCCAGTATTCAGAGAGATGGAGCTTGGCTTCAATCTCAGGATACTATTTTTTCAGTTCTCTGATGAAGACATTGCCAGGGATTTGCGAACGAGGTGCTCTGCTGGGGAGCCTAGACCTGGAGCAGCAACGCCACACCAGCAAGCACCCACTTGGAAGGATTTTCTTTCGTTTTAAGGTTAAAAGTCCACACGTAAGTTGGCCCTCTTTGCCGTGTTTTGTATACGGGACACGGGTACATACCACAGATATCTTGCTTGTTTTTTTTTTGATGAAAATGACAGGCATGGCCGGCGTTAGCACCTTGAGCCTGGCATCTGTGATTATCCCAGCCTACAAAAGAAAGAAGACAAAATCTTAGTTAGATTTCCAAGATATCCATCAGCTGTACCCCAGTACACATGGTCCTCTGTAACATTTCAACAAGCAGAACCTATTGGGCCAGTGCAAACATCCTTCCTGCGATCAAGGGGGTGGATGAGCCTATCTGAGGTAAGGAGGGTCTGGATCAAACACTTATGCTGTTTCATCAGAAGCCTCCCTCAAGCGTAGCTTGTTCCAAGGGGCACGTACAGATGCATGCTGCCACCAGATGCCCAAACCCACACACACCTGAGCAGGACTTTGCAGGGGAACAATGTTCCTGGCTGTGTCCAGCCACATCATCCTCGTGCAGCTCTTAGTCGGGGTTTCGCCAGACCAGAAACACCTCGTGGGAAGCGTTGCTTGTGCTAGGACCAGCTGTGGGCACCTGAACAGGGCTCAGGATGGAGAGCAATGCTGACTTGAGAAGAGTCTAAAAGGCACCAAGTAAGTGTCCCACCAAACACCGAAATTCCAGCATGCCCTGGGATACACTTGCCCGTTCAATGAATGCCCGCAACATTTTTTGTGGCCTCAAAAGGCAGCACAGGCTCGTTTCCACTTTCACAAGTGCTCACAGAGACAAGGGGGACTCAGAAGGATTGTTCCTGAGGGAATATTATCATTAAATAACAAGTCCGCATTATCCTCTTGAAAGCAATGCTCTCGCTCGGCACGCTGCCCGACCCAGGAGAAGGACGGTGTGCTGCCAGGGCATGGAGTCAACGGCTTGTTTCTCTGACTTGGGCCCCTCTGACAACTTCTGTTCCCCTTTCTGACAATCAAAAGCCCTACACATCAATCCATTTCAAGGAATGCCTGCAAAATTGCTTAATGGAGGCTAGAGAGACCAAACGAAAACAAATAGAAATGGAAATAAAACTTTGCGGTGCTAAAGAAACTGCCTCTCGCTGCAGCTTCGCTTCACATCTCATGATTTCAAACGCTCTTAGACCAGACTTGAGGAATGAGATTCAACCTCTCTAGGAGTTTATTTAGTTCTGCAAATGAGTGAAGAAAAATAATCCCTCTTGCAACACACCTCGGTTTAATTGTGCTAATGCCATCTGTTATACTCAGCTATAATAAATCCAACTCTGATTTACGATTTTATATTTCCAAAATGCTGAACAAACATTAAATAATTCTTGTAATACCTTGCAAAGGAGCTATTTATCAAGCATTGCTATGCACTCTTTTTAAATATACATCTTTCATTTCTGAGGCTGGATTTTGATCAGATCACTTTTTTTTTTTTTACTGCTGACAATTCTTCAAATCAAATTTCCAAGATATATTCTACCTATTTCTGGCTTAACAAGAGCTGAAATCTTCCTGAGGTATCTCTATGGAACATATTATTTTGTTATGTCTGGGCTGATTTGCATTTGCATTTTTTATCGCTCTCATCATCAGAAATTAATTCTTCTCTGAAAGCAATGTTCCCCAGCTCCTAGCACAGCACACCTGGTAAAAACCACTGTTCTGTGCTCCGAAAGCTCAGGCCTCAGATCCTAAAGAAGTCTTCACTTCTGCTTGTCCTGCTTTCTCGACAGGCGGTTTGAAGGCTGGATAATCACACTGTCATGTATCAAGGGGTCCAAGGACCCAAACCAGCTGTCACAAGCCAGGGATGCTAACAGATGGTCCCCAATGCACATGCAGTGAGCCGCTATCCCCCCAATGGGATGGGAGCATCTTGAGGGGTTCCTAGCACAGGCGCACCTGCACCACAGCTGATTTGGGGTCAGTTGGCGTAAAGAGCTTTCAAGCATGGCTTGGCTGTCTCAGAAAGAGTTGCCTCTGTTTGCAGGGAAGGGGGGCTCGTGATCTGACCATCAGTGTAGCCAGCGGGGAACATCCCTCCAAGGTGGTCCAGAGATTGCTGAGGTTAGTGGCTTCAGCTGGACCTGGGGAATGAGAAAAAGAGCCATCCGTGGAGCACGCGGTGAAGAATACCTAACAACGTGCTGTCCCTTAAAGCGAAATGAGAGAGGAATTTCTATCACTGAGTAGTTTAAGAGTTGAGATACAGATGGAAAAGGGTTTGCCAACTTATTAATTTTTCAAAACAGCCATAAATAAGAGAATGGCTGTTCACAGCACAATTTGCACGTGTTCCCTCCATGGCTGCATTTTAAGTTTATCACTGAAGACCTCAGCTTGAGCCACATCCTACTCTCACCCTCACAGCTCACAAATACACGGGCCCTACCAACAGTTGACATCTGCACAAAAGGCTTCATATGTTCACCCCCCCATGAAATTTAATTTTCCTCTGATGCATGAGATTTGATGTACCTGGTGCCTCTGCAGCAGAACGCAGCAAGCCGTGAACCGGGCTGGGTTGCACACTGATGCTTTTATCTCCGTCCATTGCCAGGAGCATCTCAGATAAACACGAGTGGTGTGCAACTGGTCCCAAAGATACTGAGCTACTTCAACCATCAAATAAATGCGACTGTTCCTTGCGGTGTTCAAGGCCAGGCTGGATGAGGCTTTGGGCAACCTGGGCTAGTGGGAGGACCCTGCCCATGGCAGGGGGTGGGACTCGATGGGCTTTAAGGTCTCTTCCAGCACAAACCATTCTGTGATTCTGTGGTTCTGTCTGCTGTTTTAAGCCTCTCTACTGGTCTAAGCCTGGTGCTTTACATAGGACTAGCTTTTAAAAGTACAGAGAAACCATCGCTGGTGTGGCGTGAAGGAGCCGCGACACCCTCAGTGTTCAGCCACCGCTCAGGACGCTGGGCACTGGCTGCATCTCTCCCAGGGACCCTGCTGCACTGCCTGCCCCTGGCAAAGCTTTGTGTAGCACATGTGGTGCAAACCCCACCTCTGCCTTCGTCCTGCCACGCTGCAGTGCCCTGAGTGAGGAGCAAGGCACACACCGGGCATCAGACTCTCCACTGCTGGGAGCAAGAAAGGCAGGAATCAGTCAGCAGTCTCCCAGGGCTTGAGATAAAATGTCTCACGGTGTCGCCAGTCAAACTCTCTCTCACCGAGTCCCACTGACTGTAACAGTGCTACAGCAGCAGATCATTGGGACCCAGAATAACCTGCTTGGTTTCATTTCATCTAACAGCTGCCTGCTGTTGTGTAATGAATGTTTTATAAATCTAAGACACCCAAGGGCAAAAATGTTTAAATAAATAGAAAAATGTGAGTAGCAGAACATGAGGGAATTTTTTCCTTTTTTTGGAAGCATAATCTAAATGTGAAATATTATTTTAAAAGTGGAGGTATTCCCCAGAGGAGTTTTTATAAACATGACCTGCCGTTCTTATCAGAGGATTAATTTGGAAGGAGTATACAACACAAGAGAACTGTGCACCTGTTTTAAAAGTGTTGCATCCATTAATATATACTGGTGCTCACTAGATTACAGGTAAAATGAATAGTTCCACTAGGTGGAAATGATATTTCAGTGTGAGCAGCAACATATAAAAATATTCTTTTCCTTTCGGAAATAAATAGAAGTATGATACCCAGAGATTATGAATGGTTCGATAAAGGTAATTGCTCAGTATCTTTCAATCACAAGGAAAATGTAACCAGAAAAACCCATTTACTAAAGTCTGGATGGTCTCTGAAGACAAAGCTCATTGCTGAATACAATCACCCGTACAAGTTATTGGAGGGAGGCAGAGGAGAAAAGCCATGTGCTTCCCAAAAGATTTCTGGCTTTGCACCACCAAAACTTCTCCCTCCTCACTTCCATTGCCACTTGGGGATGGGTAAGACCTCGGCAGAACTCAGCCATTTTGACCATGATATTTTCTAGTAATGGTGGTAACGATGTTAAAGGAATACTTAAGAGCAGCCACTGGAATCTGTTTCTAATGGAGTATTCCATATGCAAGACCAGGAATTTTTTTAAACTTTCTCTGTACTGTTGTGTCCAGCTGATTTGTATCAGCTCAAAATGTCAGGGTTTGAAGGTAACAAATGCAGTGCTCCCTGTAGTAAGGGGCTGTGATCTCCAAGAGCTGCAGGGGGTTTGCATGGCAGCCCCACCAGAGGCTTAGACAAGGGACCAGGCAGGGAACGGCGGGACCAGGGCTTGGGAAATGGACGGGGCTGGTCTCTGTTCTGCTGCTGGGGCTTCTGCTATTAGCAGAGCCAAAACCAGCGAGGCAGGAGATCTGACCTTACACCCACGTGAGATCTTTACTGCAACCTCCTGACAGAGCCTTTGCCAACGTTCCTGACTGCCTGTGGCTTTCCAGCCCCAAAGTGCACATCAAGCCATTTCCAGAGAGAAAATGGAGCCTTGACCTTCCCAAGGATTTGTGATAAACTACACTGGATGCCATTGGTCAGTGTGTTCATTCAAAGCTTCGCCTGATTTCCTGTCCTTCATGGGGAACTCTTTCAGAGAGGGAGCAGAAAAAATAAGTGGAGAGTATTAGATCTGAACTGCAAGGGCAGGCTGGGATATGGTGCAGAACAGGAGTGGTCTCTCTCCTCAGCAACAGATCTAGGAGGGTCTTCAAGGTTAAGACTCTAAAAAGCTGCCTCTGAAATAAAAGTCTCTTCCTGTGAGGGGGGAAACTTGACACAGATAAGAAAGTTCTGGGTGACCCACTTTGGCCAGCCTGCAGCCTCTCAGAGATCACTGGCAGCAGGAGCATCACTCTGGCTGCCCAGAGAAGAGCTGCGTGCATCGCTGCCGTTTAATTCTCACGCACAGCACAAATGGGGAGTCACGGTACCACGGGCCAGGCAGCTGGGAGGACCAAACCCAGCAGGGATTTGTCAGCCTAATGGCTCTCGCTCTACAGCCTGCCCTCCTAACAGCTGACAACCGTCAGAAGGAGTGACAGGGACAATTGTGCTCCTCTGGGACGCTGCTCTGAGAGATGCACGGCAGGAGGAGTGCTGACAGCTATACGGGTGGGAAACGGCAAGTGTTCACGTCCCCCTTCAGCTGCCTGCTTGGAGGGTATGGCTCTCACCTTGGCTGCCCTGGGGCTGGCTGTGCTGTCACGGAAAAGCATCGTGACACAGCCAGAAGGGAAGAGAAGAAGAGCAAGGGCCACATGCACAGTCTGTCTGTCCAGGGTCAGCCTACCCCCCCATCAGCCTGAGTCCACGTTGACCATACAGGTTAGACTTCCACACAAGTTTTATTTGCCACCCTAAAGGGATGGCTAAAAGTTGTGATTAGTTTTTGGCCACAGGGTCTGTCTATGTGGATGACATCCCACAGCACCCAACAGCGGAGGACAGTGGTCTGGATTTGCCACATCCCACCCTTTCAGTTCAGGGGACATTTAGGAAATCAGAGTCCTCACCTTTGTCTGCTGCGAAACGGGTGACAGCGTAATGACAACGCAAAAGCCTGTCACCTCACTTTCGGAGGAAACAGCAAAATCACAACTCTGCAAAGGTGCAGGGACAATACAGCCCTGAGGGGACCTCGTGTTCTCTGTCTGTAGCAACACCGTGAGTACCGACCACAGTCTATAGACAATGTACACTGAGGCTGAGGTTCACCTTGTAAAAACTAGACGTACCTGTCCAAGTTGGCTGCGCTGAGCTCCCTTCACAGCCACGAAACAGGCAGCTCCAGGGGGGGATCTGCCCACCCTGGACACCCGCTCCTGGCTGCAGAGGGGGGGCCCGGCTTTCACACCTCTCCCATGCCTGAGGAGGCAGCTCAGATGATTATTTCAGATGAGCACATGTCTGGGCTGAGAAGTTCCCCAGCACCAGGCAATAAGGACATAACATCCACGGCTTTCCTCTCAACACCAGAGCCTCGGTGAGCTCACCTGTGCATCCCAGCGCGCACCCTCCATGAACAGACCGTGGACGTACGCCCCTTCCCGAGGAGGACTGGCAAAATCTTCTCTGTTCTTTTTGGTCACGTCGCACTGCAAGGTCATCTTGTCCAAAGGCCACCCATTCTTTCGGGCTGTGGACTGCATGATGGCTGTCAGGAAAGACTGGGGATTGAAGAACCCAGCAAGCCACACCGAGGAAGGCAAGGAAAAGTCTCCTGTCCAGGCCTCCAGCTCCTTGATGCGAGTGAGGAGGTCAGCAAACCACGTGCCCAGGCTGGCGGTGGAAGGGTAAGCCCTCTTTATCCAGGACTGCGGCACCATGTCCAAGAAGAGGGCATTCTGCAAGTTCTCCATCTCACTTGTCATGGTCAGTTCTCCCTGCGTGAGAAAGGGCAGCATTAGCACTGACAACTGTTCAACCTGAACCAGGAGAGCAGAGGCTGAGCTGAGACGTGTGGAAGAGCGAGACACCCTACACAGTCACCAGCGTTCACATACTGGGAATTTCTTCATGAGTCTTGGGTTTTCATGAACACCTACTATTGCCTATTCCTGCATCCTCACCTTCCCTACTGTAAAAATACTACTGGGAGGAAAAGGTGTGTAACAGAATGACAGCGAACACGGGTGTCCCTCTGTTGTCCCAGTTCTGTTTCTGTTTTCTCTCATTGACTGAACATCTTCATAGGGCAGATTTCTGGAGGTGCAAAGTTGCCAGAGTACGATACTGGAGTCTCTGATAATCTACTCCAAAACTGTCCAGATGCTTGTTATGTCCAGTCCTCACCCCTTCCTCTCCTCCATTTCCCCTCACTCCCCTCCTTTATTACTTCGCAGTGCAAGTCTTTCTTTTTAACTTCATGTGTTGTCTGCAAATGTAATCACAGTTGATTTCACAGCAGGGAAGCACATAACAAATTAAGATATGATTCAGTCAAGTGAGGTATAGAGAGAGGTTTGGCTTTTTCTTTATCCAGCAATTAATTATTTTTAAAGCTTTTAGAAACCAGTATCAGTTTCACCCAGGCAGGAGAAGAGATGGAACATCACTGCATGGCCAAAAAGGGCTTCTGCACAGCAATAACAGCATCCCTCTTGAACTTCTGGTACTCTGCAGAGGGTCCCCAGTGTCTGATAGCCTAAAATTAAGAAAATTCCAGATGTATCCAGCTGAAATGACATTAAACTTAAGCAAGAGATGCCTGGATGGTACCACTGCTGAAAGAACAGCTAAGAGAAGCCATGACGAGACACAGCAGTTTGTGCAGTAGGTTGCACACAGATGGGGCTCACAAACTCTGCCAAGGGCAGTGTACCCTTGCTTAGCAATGGTGGTGACATACCAACGGGCATTGTCCCCAGCACCATCTGGAGTAACTGTCCCTGGAACAACAGAGGCCTCAGCTTGGACCACGCTCCTGACAGAGGCTGCAGCTCGCCGTGTCTGGGACTGCAGGCAGTGCCTGGGGCTTCCCACTGAGCTTGGGGCTGGGAGACCATCTCCTTGCATGTAGGAGATGCGGAGGACCTGTGCTACCAAGTAAAGGATCTGCAGGAGGCCAGCAAACTGTTTAGTATCAGAGATGATGAGAAAGAGATCAACTGGACCTTCTCTGAGACCCTGCAAATACAAGAGGAGCCTCAGCTCCCAGCAGTATGGAAGGAAGACAGGCAGAGCCTGTGCCTCTGCTTGGGAAAGGGATGGTGAAGGTTGGAAGCTTGTGACTTCCAGCAAAAGGAGTGAGGCTTCTGTTCCCCCTGCAGATCTGCAGCTACAGAGGAGGTTCAGTGCCCAAGCAGGAGATGAGGGGCTGCGAACTCTGTCCATCAAAGCATCCATGCCACTGGATCCTTGAGACAGGGGGGTTTAAAGTTAAAAGGGATTGAAAGAATAAGTATATGATGAACGTTTGCCGTGCTTGCGCAGACAGGATGAGAGGATCAAAGCTGTGATAATGGGGGAGGAACTGCTGACCCACCCGAGAGGAGAGCACACACCGCCTGCAAGGCCACGGAGACAGGGAGCCTCTAAACAAGATGGGAACCAGCCTGGCTCTTTGGGCTGAGACCAAGCGACCAGGAGGTGAGAAGTTCAGCTCCGATGAAGACTCATTTACTTCATCCTGTCGACCACCGGACGACCCCCAGGCAGCACTGCGCAGGCGCAGAAGGACTCTTTAGCTCATTAGAATACGAAGCGGGACTGGGCGGGGCTGGGTAATTGATATGAATGGATGGATTATGAAACTTAATGCATACGCAACATTTTGGGGAATAAATAGAGGGACAGGTTTTGCGGAAAGGCGCGCATGTCTTTGGTGGAGCTATCCCCCATGCGTCTCAGCGCTGAATAAACTACATACCTACTGTACAACTTTCACGAGTTGTGGAGTCTTTCCGCTTCATCCTGAGTCACAGAGAGGCACAGGAGAGGTCAGTGAGTGACAGCAGTTCGTGCCCTCCTGCTGCAGAGGACAGAGGATCCCATCTGCCAGCCTGTCTTGTTGTCTGGGGACATTTACTGCATGCTGGGAGCTCGGATCCAGGACACTGTGGAAAGACTGCTGAGGTTTGTCCCCTTACACTCTTCCACAGGACCAATGCTACCCAAAGATGGCTGTGCTGCCTTTCAGAGGGACTTGGACAGGCTGGAGAACTGAGCTGAGAGGAACCTCATGAAGTTCAACAGAGGGAAATGCCGAGTCTTGCACCTGAGGAGGAACAACCCCACGCACCAGTATGTGCTGGGGACCAACTGCCTGGGAAGCAGTTGCAGGAAAGGACCTGACAAAGAAGGCCACCAGCATCCCTGCTGAATCAGGAGGTGCATTGCCAGCGGGTTAACAGCAGCACTCTGCTCAGCACTGGTGAGGCCACGTCTGGTATGCTGGGTCCAGTGCTGGGATTGTTCAGCCTGGAGAAGAGATGGCTCAGGGAGGATCTTTGCAATATCTCTAAATATCTGATGGGAGGAAGCACAGAAGATGGAGTCAGACTCTTCTGAGTGGTGTCCAGTGCCAGGACAAAAGGCAATGGGAACAATGTAAAATACAGGATGTTCCATGGACACAAAGTACAGACTTTTTGACTGTGAAGGTGGTTGAACCCCAGAACAGTTTACCCAGAGAGGCTGTGGAGGCTCCATCCTTGGAAATTTTCAAAATCCAGCAGGGCATGGTCCTGGGCAACCTGCTCTATCTGACCCTGCTTTGAGCAGGGGGTTGGACTAGATGATCTCCAGAACAACTCATCTGTGCTTTTGTGACACTCAAGCCAAGCAGTCTACAAAGACAAAAACTTGCAAATGCAGGCTCAGCTTCTGCTGGTAGATGACGCCCTTCACAATGCAAATCTTCGCCTGCCCCATGCTGAGCAACAGGGGTACAACACACCACAGCACTTTGGACACTTACAGTTATTGTTGATCACTGGTTTCCATTATAAATACTTACATTTCTCCCCTTAGCATTTTGCCAAAATATTTATCCGACCTACAATTTCTCTTTGCCTCAGGCTGAGTGTTTTTGGAAAGAGTAACTGAAAACAGTTGAGCCGTTGCTGAGAACGAGGGCGAGGGAATTGGGTCAGTCTATTCACATTAAAAAATTCCAACTGTTCTTTCACAAGACTTCAGTGCCTCCAGCCATGAGGTCAGCAGAGGTGCCCTTTACTGAGGCCACAAAACTCTACGAAGCTTTAGCAAAAGTTGAAATCCGCTTAAAGCAACCTCAAGGCAGGTTTAGCAATGCTTGTCAGAGTCCAGCAGTTAGAAATCTTTGCAGTTTATTCTTATGCTGACCATGCCCTGCAGAGCTCTGATCTGCAGGTCACACCGACAGGCTGCAGTGGGACAAAACCACAGCTCGACACCCAGCCGGATGATGGGAGAGCAGTAACGGGGACCCTCGTTGGTGGCCTGTGCTGCTGCTGGCACTAACGGGTGCAAATGGGCTCAGTGCTGAGGGATGGAGACTCTGGGCAAGCAAGCGTGCCTCCCCAGCACCCACCAATTCAAATCAGAGCTGAGAGCACTTTGGTGGTGCCCCCACACCTGGAAGCCACTGCAGCCCTGGGACCCCTGTGCAGAGTTGTCCCCCAGACATCTGTAGTTTCCCATGCAGAAATCCCCTTCCTGGGACATGCTCATCTCTCAACAGGATGGGCTGACAAGGCATTGTTAAACAGCTGCTCTGAAGATGACATTGAAAGCAGTAAGCTTGTAAAGGCAGCAAGCATCAGAACCTGCTGGGTTTCTCCGTGGAGAACAGATCTCTGGTGGACAGAGAAAATCACGCATACAAAGGTTTTATGATGATTTTTGTTTTAGCACTTCTGAAGAGAAAAGCGACAAATAGAGTTAAATGAAAAAGTGGAAGCAGGACTATTTGGAATTAGTCCTAAAATGTGAGGAACAACTTTAACGACCATTCAAAATAGGCATCACCTCCTGTCATTTCATGTGAACGGAGACCAGGTGAGTCTCTGCCAATAAACCATCTCATTATTTCTGTTCAATGATTCTACATTTGCAGGTCTTCTCAAAATGATGGTAAAAGGTCTTTAAAGTCCTGGATAATTCCCAGCACAAATGAAAGATGGCTCATTTTGGTATTTGCCATGAAATTACAAATAAATACCAAGGCAGTGCATGCCCCGTGCATTTTCTCTGAAGCACCTGAGCTGTTTCACTATAACTCACTTTAAGACAATTAATTGACCTACAATAAAAGCTCCCACAACAGAAAAGCATGGGGGGGGGGGTCTAATCAGAGGGGTCGGTAAGGAGCTTCACAAGGCTGTCAAAAATGATCTGAGCTCACCAGGGGGCAGTTGCCATGGCTTTGTTATTAAATAGCTTTTGTTGGCACACAACCTCTGAAGCATCATTGTGGTTCCTTCTTCATTCATAGAATCACAGAATCACAGGATGGTTTGGGTGGGAAAGGACCTTAAAGCCCATCCAGTTCCACCCCCTGCCATGGGCAGGGACACCTCCCACTAGCCCAGGTTGCCCAAAGCCTCATCCAGCCTGGCCTTGAACCCCTCCAGGGATGGGGCATCCACAGCTTCTCTGGGCAAACGTCACACAGGTCATCACCTCCCATCCCAGGAGAACTTAGACCCTGAGAAGACCTGTTCAATAGGCTGCTCTCTGGCTAAAGCCGTGGCAGGACCATGCAGGAATTAAAAAAAAAAAAAAATAAAGTCTGAGGGGGCAAAATACTGCCCTGGTCCCAGCAGGACACTGAGAACCACAGGGCCTTTTAATAGCAACACTCCGAAGCATTTTGCACTCCTGGAAAGGTTTAAAGCAGGTAAAAGTATTGCAAAATGTATTCAAGCAGTCAAATTGATTTAAAGGCATAAGCCTCATGATC